ATGGAAATTTTTAAAATGGAATTTATAGATATGGAATTTACAGATATGGAAACATATTTATGAAATATATGGAAACACATAAAACATAATGCTCTGAATAGAAAATTTTGAAACTATAGAAATATACATTTGTTTGAATGTATACCTAATTACATGGAAATAATTAAATAAAAAATTGATTTAAACATACAGATGAGGAAATACACAAAAGATGTCTTAGAATTTATATATATAAGTTATGTAAATATATTCAAACAATGTTTAAAACAGAAATATATTTAAAACATTGATATGATTTTTTAATATGTATGAAAAGTTTTGACTTGCTAATATAGAACAATTCAATCATTGACAGGCAGATTTCAAATTTTTTTGTTAAGTTAAAGAATGGAGTTTCAAAGAAACAAAAATCAAATTTTAAAGTTTTATACTTCAATGCTGATGATTGCTTTTTATCTTTTCACTATAACAAAAATATGGGTTCAATAATTAACAAAACAATAAAATATTTATGTTTTTTTCTTCAATTGTATTTTAGTCAATGAGTATTCTTAGTGGGGTGATTTTAGTAAAATACAGTATTTATCATATCTTTTAGCAGTTGATTTTATATTAAGCCGGCCCTCCGCACAACCTGATCACCAATTTGGTAAAACATTTGGTGACTAAGGATGCAACACCACCTTGTCCCCCATTGTTGTTGTTGTTGTTGTCAGGGTAAGAAACAAAAAGGTAGCTAGGTTTTCTATTGACCTTTAAATGTTTATTTCAGTGACGTAGGTAAATCTCTGGATTTATAGTGACTATCAATCAATTAATCTCTATTTAGTAAAAATTTAATGATGTACTTAATTGACGACACAAGATTCCCGATATTCAAGTTTCAAATAATAAAATCAGCGTCTCAAATAAATGCATCCTTAAGAATTTGGCATGGCCCCCAAAGACTTCTGTCTTTGGGAAAAATTGTACACATAACATTCATTATACCATGCATTTCATATAACATATTTTAAATGGCATATAAATAGTCTTACAAATGCTTTCATTATGGTTAAGCAGGGAATACTTGTAATGTAACTATGACATTGTGTACTGACACCACAGCCAACATTAAATTTATATTCATTCTTGCATAAAAAGCTGCAGATTGACTTATAGAAGAAAACATGCATTGACAGATAAAATATGCATGCATACCCCATTGTTGCACTTTTTTTATTATGCTTGACTCAGGGTGCCATGTAAAAAGATCTGACTGCAATGACAGATTCCATAAATTCATTATGAAATGACATCATACTTGCACATAAAAAGCATGACGAAAACCGTTTCTTTATCAAATAACAAATAACTAAACACAGAATTACTAAATTTAATAGACATATACTTTCATGCAAGAATAGTGCAGCGTCTAATGCACATTTTCTCATGCATTAACATCTGCAGAAGCCCCAAGACATTATCAAATTCTTCACACTGCTCAGTGCTTTGATCTGAAATTGTTGATGCATGAAAAAAGGTGCATTAATCAGTACATATTATCATTTTCAGTAGTGACTACATATTTATTACCTTAAGACATATGAGATGGTCTTATACAACAGGTTGTCTGTAATCCAAGTGTATGATAACATCAGTTTACAGTTGAAATGAAAATAATTATGTAAACTCTTTAAACAAGCTTGCAGTGTTCAGAGGTCATCTTAACAACACATGTTTAGCTGCATGATAAAACTGTCCGATAAAACTATTTCTACAATGTTAAATTGTTTGAAACTATATACAACTTCTTTGACCCATACAAGATTTTTACAAAATACTTTTCAGTTTTTGAATCTTGCCTCAAGGACATATCTATCATAATAGGCTGTCTAAAAATCTAGTGTATTAAACAAATACAGTGACACATGTATTTAGTGTCCCCTATATAGACAGTCCATATTTAACTCTTTTTCCAAACCTGAACTTTAAATTTAAGGAATAGTTTCACAAGTTTACAGTCCAATCAAGGTGGCCCTCAAAGACTGATTTTGCTGAACAATACTAATGCAAGCAATCAGTGTTAAAGCAATGATTTTTTACCTCCTTTGGAAGGACATACAAGAAATTCCTCGACTTCTAAAAGCAAACATTGATCGCCTTATGATACAAGATAAACATGTTTTACTTTTTGTGGCTTGAATATTTTCTTTTTATCAAATTGACTAAATTTCATAATATATCCAAATTTTACAAATGGGTGGACTTGCAGTGATAAATGAACAAACCACAACTGCAACTACAAAATGGCATTTGAAAGTATACTACTAAGGTATGTATTTTTCTCTAGCTCTTACCATTTACAATTGATACAAATAAATACATGTATAACTAATGTATTATTAAATCACAAATGAACAAAGACCTTTTCTTTTCCTCTTACATCATGGACATGCCCCACTTCACTTGTTCAAACATCAAATATTTTGCTATAAATTAATTTTGTTGCCAGTTTTGTTTATATTTTAACATTATATGGCTTTTGACCAAGAATTTATCAATATTTCAATCTGAGATTTGAAGTAAGGAAAAAATTAATAAATGTACGCACTTTACTAAGTCATTTCTACAATTGTATATTATTTTTAAATATTGTCAGAATACATTTAACCTGACCATGTATTATCACGTCAACAGCTCAATTTTGGGTTTTTTTTACAAAAACCCTTAAACTTTGAATTGACTCTTCCAAATAAAAACAAGGTAAGTCCATTACACAGAATTTCAGGGGTATGCTTCAAAAATCAGTTAACCTCTTAACATTTGCCTGTATTATTTGGCAATTCTTTTTTCTTTAATTTACATAGATATAATAAGACAAGTTTTAATATAAAAAAAATTTCTAAATGGGTCATAAAACCATGTGATATACCATTCAGAGGAGCATGAATACTAATCCAGCCACTTCTCTACAAAATAAATATAATCCATGGGTTAAATGTGTATAAAGTAAGGTCACATTTACCATTTTCAAACCACAGTATACATATATATGTACATCTTGAAGCAAGTTCATGTATTCCGATTTCCCCCCAGCACACGCTACATCCAAAACTGCATCCGGAAAAGTCGCAAAAGTCAAAAGTATAATTCCCGCAGTAGTCAAATTTACAAAAGTATAATTCCATAAGTAACATCCTATGATCTTATCGAAACTTATTAGCGGAAGACACTAAATTGATAAAAGATAGCAAAAAAATAATAAAAAAAAATGTTCGTGCAGTTAGGTCTACTTGAGTATTCATTCTATTTAGAAATATATCAACTGATCGCAAGGAGGTTGAGCAATAAGTCTTATTTGTAGCAGACACAGGACCAAACATCGAGACGCAGGTATTGATTTTTACACACCGAGAGAAAATTGTGCTGGCAAAACCACTGCAATAACAACTGTTTGTCAGCAAAAATACTTTCACTGCTGTTTAATTTTCGAACTCACTTCTGTTACACACTTACCATATATATGTAAGAAAAAAAAACTTTTAAATATATATAAGATTTCAATTGAATTATATTCATAAAGGGAATAAAGTGCATTTAATTTAAAAAAAAAAACTAAAAAAAAACAAATATTGCTTTAAATCTGAAATACACAATAAACTGCATTTTAAATTAAAAAAAAAAATTAATTTGTGTCTTATTTTATATGTAGCTATGTAATAAGTAAATTTCTTAAATATTAAAACAGTTTTCTATTGAAATACCATTTATGCACGACATTTTATTAAAATGCATGCTTCTATATACTTATATAGAGTTTTTAGCATTCTAAATCTATTTCATCCTAATCTATTTAACTGGCACATTTTGTTAAACAATAAAAACTTTGAATCACTGGAGAAAGGTAAGTAAAAGATAAATGATAAATATTGAATGAAAAACCATTGATAAATTAAGTAAAGCTCTTTTCCTTTTCTGTCATGCCCATTAGGAGGATGTAGCCAGTTAATAGTCTGGTTTGGTGACTCCATTAATGACATACAACTACATGCATTGGGCATGCAAAAAATGTTATTTATAAAGATTTCTGGCTGTTGTCTTAGTAACCATAAATAAAGATACGAGCATGATTATATTCATGCTCAGACAATCTGAAAATCGCCAACCCTTCACCAGCACAACAAGCATACTTGTTAAAAGCAATTTCTTTTCATATTAATCATTCTTTCTCGTCAGCATATATAATCATATAGCATAATTATATAATGATAATACTTAAAATTTTGTTTGTCGGCCTGGGCCATCAATTCATGAATTTTCATCATTAATGAAAAGTATTTTCCCTTTTCTTTTTTAAGAAAATTTTACTGTTTTTATGCTTTTATTTTACCTGATTATATTTGCCAAAAGCAGAAGACCCTTAACAATATCCAATTTTTGAAACTTCCTTTTGCAAAATAAAATATGTAACAATTATCAATCCAAAGAGTGTCACTATTGTATGCATAAGCAGCAACCTCTCATTCACACCCCCTCCAACCGTGACCCCGCACTCAAGGGAAAAGGACATTAAAATTACCTCCTACAGGATCAGGCACTGTTCCTGCAAAACAGAGACACTTCCCTGTCTTGTTTCCTGGAATGGGCATTTATTCCTTACAAAGACTCTACTACGTATATCCACACCATAACACAGTCTATTTTGTCAGACAGACATTAATGAGCCGCGTCACGACAAAACCAACATAATGTGTTTGCGACCAGCATGGATGTAGACCAGCCTTCGCATCCGCACAGTCTGATCAGGATCCATGCTGTTCCCTTTCAGTTTCTCTACCTGTTTTAAGGTTTGTAAGTGACCAGCATGGATCCTGATCAGACTGCACAGATGCACAGGCTGGTCTGGATCCATGCTGGTCGCACACACATTATGTTGGTTTTGTCATGACGCGGCTCAATTTTGTAACACTAAATGCTACAACTCCTGCCTCTATTTTTTTTAAACATTAAAAACCTACCAGTTTATAAAAGAGCTTTTTCCTGCAGAGTGGTTACCAATTAGCAGCACAGTTATTTTCTTCCTTGGTGCCAGAAGTGTCACATCGAGATTCTCTGCAATCTTTACTAGTCCTGAAAGTATAACAAATGAATATAGTACGATCGTTCAAATAAAATAGCAAAAAGTAATTTACCAGGACATCCATTAGTGGAAGTTTGGTAGTCATTTACTCCTGATTTTGGCTTGTGACTACCAAAATATAACCCTTTTCCTTCTTTACCTATATAATGTGACTTTCAGTGTCAAATATTTTGCCGTCTCTGACCACCAAATTTTGAAACATAACGGAAGCCCTGAATTTTACAGTGTATAGTAATGTCCTTTGTGAAAAAAAAAAAATGAGACATTTAAGATTTTATGCAGAATTAAAGCAATTTACAAGAAAAAGGTGAGATACATTATGTCCCTGTAAAAATTGTAACTTTTTTTATAAATTCTTGTAGAAAAAGTCTCATGCCTGCATCCAAATATTTACTACTTTCCGTAGACTTTTATGCTCAGGTGAGCTAAAATATACTGTAGCCTTCAACAAATTACTGTAAACCATGCAGGTATAGTTGATTATAGCTAATTACAGGCTCGTCAATTTGTTTTCTGGTTGACATTAAAGCAAACACACACAAAAAATATCTTCAGGAAGTTTAAATAGACAAGTGTCTATCTGGTAATGTTAAACAGACAATAAAAACCCTCATAAAATTTTCATTGTGTCCTAGTGATCTACAGACCTATATTTAACTACTTTCACATGCACGCATCACGAGTTATTTCCACTTAACTAGGCATACCATAATATTAAAATACTCTTCACTATTAACTATTTTTTTACATTTGTATGTTGAATAAGGTGGATAGGTGTGTGAGACTGTCTGGGTGTGGTGGTTGAATAGGGATGGTTACGTCACAGGCAGGTGAAGGTTTTAAAATTAATCTTATTTCCTTATAGTAATTTATCGGGAAAGATTACAAGGTTTTCATTCTCTACCTTCTGGAGGCTGAATGTTCTATATTCAAGGTGGAATTGCTGTGCTAACTTGATAACCCCCATATTGGGATATTTTATACCAAAATATGTCTTAAATATAATACTAGTTAATTAATAACAAATGTGTAAAAATTCTACAAAAACACTGCATTTAAGATCTGAAGATCCGTGTGGATTGACTCGAATTTTTCTAAATTTATGTTCCATTTTATGTTAGTCTTGACCAAAACTTTTGTGCACAATTTCAATTCATTTACAGCTCATTCTGTTTTTAAAGCGTTGCATCTATCTTCACACAAATTGGGCTACCAATAGAACAAAAAAATACAATTATCAATTTATTTCTGAATATATTTCTTAATAATCTTTTGCAAATATTTCTGTTTTAAAGTGTCCCACTTGATCTATGTTAAAATTCCAAGGTTTTGTTTTTATGCTTTTGGTCCACAGTGGAGTTACATTAAATTCTTGTAACCAACATCAGCCTTGGTGACATCACTTAACTGGGTTTGGTTGAAAACACACTTCCTCACAGCAACCTGTTGCAGACAAATATGTTTATGTTGTAAATAAATTGGTCAACCTGTTTATCACAGTAACGTCAAGTGTCTATTGAAGCAGACCCTTACATCGTATAGATAACAGTTAAAACTAAATGAGCCGCATCACGACAAAACCAACATTATAAGTGCGTTTGTGACCAGCATTGATCCAGACCAGCCTGGATATTACAAGCAGAGAAACTGATAGCTAACAGCATGGATCCTGATCAGACTGCGCGCAGGCTGATCTGGATCAATGCTGGTCGCAAACGCACTATGTTGGTTAACGTCATGGCGCGGCTCAAATAAAAGATGATGTGGTTAAGCCATAGTTAAATATTTATGAAATCTTAAAGGAACTCCACTAATGTCCAAAGGCCTAAAAACATAAATTTGAATTTCTTATATTGATCAACTGGAGCATTTAAAACGGAAAGATATGTAAAAGATAATTAAGAAATATACACAGTAATATTCAAAATTGATAAAATGGTATTTGTGTACTATTTTAGCCCGATTTGTGTGAAGCGTTTCAATTTTGGTACATTTTTCACAACTACAATAATTATTCATTCTGGAAAAAAGTGACCTAATGATCTGAAATATTGCACAATAGTTATTGGTCTAGGCCTACATCAAATGGAACGTTAATCTTGAAAAATTATTTCAAGTCCTGTCGTGTCAAAAGACCTCAGTGGAGTCCCTTTAATTAATATTCTTGCATTTTTTTTACCCTCATAAAAACTTTTTTAATGATGAAATTTAAAAAAAATTAACATTTTTTCCAAGACTTCAATTATTTTTTTATGGTTCATTCAAGAGCAAAATAACTTTTAATTAAGGGGTTTTGAAAACTGACATTAAAATCACAATTCATGAGTTTTTTCCAAGACCTGTTACAAGATGAGTGAACTTTGGCAAAAAAAAAGCTGAATTTTTTCTATTCGATTAAGTACATGAAATAAAAAATATCCCCCGATGTAATTATCAACCAAAATAACAAAATTTCTTTAACAATAACTATTGCTTTCTATTTATGGCTCAATTACATTACAGATAGATACTTGTTTTTTGTGTCCAATGCTTTTTTTGCATCAATACTTTCAAAACATACCCTAATACCATTGGGAATTTTTGCGGTTTGCTCAAAATTTGGAAAAAATTGCAATCTTTGTAACAATTATGAAATGACACTTTGTCTTGCATTTTTATGATTAACTATGTACATTATCCTAAAGAACATTGTCTGCCTTGACCAATCATTGATCATAATTTTGAATACATAAAAAATATCTATATTTCATTTTTCATGCTTTTGTAAGTAATTTTTGTCTGCCTTTTTTGGGGGGAATAGATATTTTTCACAGCATTTAAGCCATAATTATAACATGCAAAAAAATACAAAAAAACTCTGAAAGTTCACACATTGCCTGAGAGTATTCTCAAGGATACTGAGAATTCACTTTATTTTGTGGACATGGAGTTTTGCGGTTATGTCTCAAATGACTTTTTTTGTGGTTTCTTACAAACAAACATTTGTTGGGGCAGACAGACAGCAATCCAGATTCTCAACACTATTATATCAGAAAAAAAACTTACTGCTCAGGAAGTTATTTCAAATTCAGACATGACCTGCCTGCAGACCCTGTATCCTCCACTATTCTCAGTGGTGGATACTTAAATAAAAGCAACATAGAAAAGGGGACATAATACAGTGTAAGTGTTGAGCAGATTAACCTGCTCTTTATAGTCAACAAATATTCAAAGTTTGAAACAGTCACTGAGAAAAAAGCAAATATCTTTAACAAACAAAGATGGCATTCAGGATGACCTGCCCCTTAAAATTCATTTAAAACTGATAGTGAACATTCAGTACTCAAATATCTTCCATACTTTTAGAAATGTACCACTGCAAAACTAGCTTTCAGACACCAACATTAGTAGAAATAAAAGTAGAAAAGGGACATATCATAGCAAAATTAATTTAGGATTATCTGCCCTCTTGAAATGATGTGAACATGTATGGACCTTAACAAAAAGGTATATCAGAGCAAAAAGAAACAAGTTGAAAAGGGGGATAACTCTGCAAACAATAATTTTAGGATTATCTGCCCTTTTGACTAATGGCAACTTTATATGACAATAAACATGTATAGGAAGTTTGAAAAGAATAGCTGTTATAATGTATAGTTTCTCAGAAAATGGACCTTATCGAAAAGGTTAATCAATGCTGACACCAACTTGATGGTCATGACAATTTTTTTCCCCTCAAAAAGTGGAGATAATAATATCATAATAATACCCACATAGTCAGATGAAATGCTAATTTATTATGGCATTTATTTTTATTATCAATGTCAACTGTGGATTAAATTTTCTATATATCAGAAAATATGACGTATTATTTTCATATTCTATCATTAGAAATTCTTAACACTTCCCTTCATTTCAGCTTTCAAAGACTTTAATTCTACCATATTGGAACTGTCCAGGAGTCTTTAAGTTGAAACAAAGGGTTCCACTCTTCAAACTTATCCAAAAAATAATTGTGCCAAAGTTAAAGCATTTATTCCAATTTACCAAGCCTGATGTAGCATCAATATTTTTGTGCTCGCCAGCTATTGATTGCAGTTTGCCAAAGTCTAGACATGCGGCACACTGTATTGGGAAAAAGTTACAAAACCAGCGAAAATTTCTAATCCTTCTACAAGAGTGAAGACGTTCCAAGAAAAAAAACAAGGCGACCTGTTTCACAGCATGGAAATTATCTAGGACAAGATGCGCAAGTTTTTTTTTAAAAAATCTACTTTGCGATATTGCTATAATGCTGAACTGTGCGACTTTAAAAAGAGTGGCCATTTTTGTTTTACCACCATCATGAAAAATTAACAACCAATAAGGCTTTTGTCTAAAGTTATTGTTAAAACACACAAGAAAATGTAGAAACATAATATGCTATTCAATTAATTAGCTTCAAATTATTTAAATTGTATTGGAAACAGTAACTGGTGCAGGCATTCGGAACAGAAAATTGACCCACTTACTGCTGTTTGCAGAGAAATTGTGCTATTTTCTGAAGAAATAGAATTCCAATTTAGTACAATCATAACTCAAAATAAGGAAGTACAATAGTAGAATTAAATGTCGGAGAACAACAAATTGTGTGTGTTTTACCATTTACCAAGTCTAAAAAATCAGTTTAATACGTATAATAGTGACAATTCATACCATTCTCTTAAAGTCGTTACAAAATATTTTTCTTAGATTTAGAGAAGCAACCAGTATGATGCACACAATTATTTTAAATGGAAACTTTCTACATAATACTAGATCTTGTTATATGCTTAATCATTGAAAGGTATGTTTAAACTTTTAAAATGATTATTACATTTATGCACCTCCAATATAATTATATTTGTAGCATAATTTAGTCACCTGAAAAATGCACAAAGCTTTTCATTTGCAATTCTAACACGCTTATCAAACAGGTAGGACAACAATTGCATTATTACACCATAAATCAAAGCACAGAAGGTGCTGAATT